TTCTCAATGTGTATTTTGCGTGTCTTCTAATCTCTTTTTCACTCTTTCTCATTACATTTCACTTTTTTCTTTCTCCTTCTTTTTCTTCTATTATATAAAAAAAGTTTAAATGAGGAAGATAAATTAAAATGAAGAAAAATAATTTTAATTTGCCTTGTTGTTTGTTTTCTTCATGTCTCCCTCGTTTCTACTCCTTAGCATAGAGGGGAGTGAACTCTGGCACCAGGTATTTGCCAGGTGAATGGTCTCTAACCTCTGTAGCATGAGAGAACAGGCATTTAGCCAGAGGAGACTCTTAAGTTTTCCGACGCCTTCAAACAGCTGGTGACGCCGTGGGATTGCCGACAGCTGTCTTTTCTTTTTACACTGTAAATTTTAATCTAAAATGCCATACACAGAGGGGTTAAATCATTATATTAGTTTAAACTGGTCTCCAACAATATTATCATTTATCACAATAATTTCTGAGACAATTTATCATCCAGTAAAATTTGTTATCATGACAGGCCTATTGCTGACAAATCCTAATGATTGATTTTTGGACTATAGGTAGATTAAAACATGAACTTAAGAGTCTGTGATGTTGTTGAAAATGTATTTTTGAATGTTTCAAAAATCAAACAGCCTGAAATAATAAGTAAATAATTACGTGTCACTTGGAATTCTGGGTACTTTTCCTGTTATTGTGAAATCCAATCCAACCCACTGATCATGAATGAATGAATTAAATTGCTTCCTTCCCCACTCACTAATTTACCCACTTACATACTTGTTTACTTTCTTCCTCACTTATTTATCCACTTACTCACTCACTTACTTGCCCACTTAGTTACTTACTCACTTACGTATTCACATACTTACTTGCCTGATTACTTACTTACTTACTTATTCACTTAATGAAKTACTTACTTGCTTTCTTACTTACTGACTTACTTACTTACTTCCTCACTTATTTATCCACTTACTCACTTACCCACTTACTTATTCATTTACTCACTTATTCAGTTACTTACTTACTCACTCAGTTACTTGCCCACTTAGTTACTTATTCAGTTACTTGCTTACTTATTCACATACTTACTTCCTTACTTGCCTGATTACTTACTTATTCACTTAATTACTCACTTAATTAATTACTCACTTACTTGCTTTCTTACTTGCATACTGACTTACTTATATACTTACTTACATACTGACTATTTACTTACTTCCTCACTTATTTATCCACTTACCCACTTACTTATTCATTTATTCATTTATTCAGTTACTTACTTACTCACTCAATTACTTTCCAACTTAGTTACTTATTCAGTTACTTGCTTACTTATTCACATACTTAGTTCCTTACTTGCCTGATTACTTACTTACTTATTCACTTAATTACTCAATTAATTACTCACTTACTTGCTTTCTTACTTACATACTGACTTATATACTTACTGACTTGGTCATAAATTCCATGGTTGGAACCACGGCTGCAGCTGAGTCAGCAGCACCTAATATTATGTGAAGACCAAATGATGCTGCACAGATATTCAAGTCTTTAAATGTGACATTGATTGTTTTCTTAGGGTTRTTGGATTTAAAATGTTCTATATGTTTGAGTTCTATTAGTTTAAACATTTAGCAAAGACATTGTCAAATAATAATTTGTGACTCTTAGTCTTAACAGATGGAAATCATGTAGGCAAATTTGAGCTGGAATTAAAAATTCTGATTCTGTAGAAGTATAAAATGAACGCATGAGGAAAAAACGATTTGGTTGAAGTCCACGAGTMCTTTACTTAATTACGACTTGCATGCTTGGTGTTTAATTACCCTATTTCTCATGTGATCTATAAAGTCATGCAAAAGCCCATCCTTTGCAATAAAGTGCAATGCTGTGTGACTCTCCTTTAAGAAGAGCTCCTGCAGGTTGTGTGTGTCAGCACTCTTGTGTTTTCTGCCTCTGCCAGTGACTCTTGTCTAGTTTGAGCTTGWWCTGTTTTTTACTTGCTCTTCCAGGTCATTACCGGGCACCACGGCTGCAGAGTGTGAATCCAACCTGAAGAAGATCTACACAGTGCAAACCGTTCAGGTGAGTCCTCTTGAGCGTTTTCTCTATAGGAGCAAAGAGTTGAAGAGCAGGATGTGGCATAAGAGCAAAAATCTGAAGATTTTAACCTGTAAAGCTTCACTTTCTTACATGTTACTGTGAATGTAACATTAGTGCTGTGTATAAAACAACGTAACTGCTCAGACTGCTGTTCTGTGACTGACAGTGACCAGTGTGGTTCCAAAACCAATCAAAACTAGAAGCACTCGGAGAGTGCAAACCTCTGCCAAGACCAATTTTCCCCATCCTGTAAGAGTTACTGCACAAAAGCAGAGATGGAAACATTTGCCGAATAAGTTCTGACGTAGTGAACATTTAAGCACTTCCTGGTCACAAAACGTTCTGTAAATGCACATAATATGGCAAAAATTATTCATTATTAAATTTGGTTTTACTTTTATAAAGTTTGAAGTCCGTGCTGTCCAATCCAGGTCACTGTTTTTCACAGAAGCCCTGTGAAAGTATCACAGCTTTGCCGATCTCAGAGTGTTAAAAGAAAAAAATTCCTGTATCCGCATCTTGATCCGGAACATCACCAAAATTTAAAGGTGYGTTCCTTGGCCCAGTACCCACATGTGKTAAAAATGTCATGACAATCCGTCCACAAGTTTTTGAGTAATKTTGTCCACAGACAGAACGACAGACAGACATGAACGAAAACATCACCTCGCCCTTGGCGGAGGTAACAAACTAGAAACTCACCAAACTTCAGTAATCCACTCTGATTAATAAAGATCTGACAGAATGGATAATTTTATTGAGGATTCAGATAAACCGTTCATTAAAATTGTTAGCTGAGAAACGTAAAGGCATATCTTCAGAAAATTCCCAAGGATGGTTGTTTAATTATCTTTAACCAGGCAGCAGCTGAGTTAACTGAAAGATGTCCAGGTAAGAACTCTGCTGCCAGTGTGGACACACATCAGGTCAGTAGGTGGTCCTAAAGCTCAAGTAGGGGTCTCTGCTGCAGTCAATCAGTGGTAGTTTCTTGGGTGTGGGCGTAGTTAAGAGTAAAGGCAGATGGGTAGAAGTGTAACAATTCACATGCTAGATTTGAATATTAATTTTAGTCATAACTTGAGACAGGAAGGTGCTAGTCGCACAGAGTTTAAACGTCGTACATGTGGAGGGATGTATAACAATTCAGCTCAGTCAAAACAGCCTTAAACCACCTGGAAACAGATCACTATTTTTAATATGAATGTTAATATTTGTCCTAAATTCAAACAGGAAGATGCTAGCCACACCAAATTTGAAGTCAACAAATTATATTTATGTGTTCACAATACTTTTACTATTTATCTTTTAACTTCCCCCACAAGTCGATCTGATCAATCATAGCTTACACAAACTGTACCTTACCCAAGAAACTCCCACTTACTGAAGAGACCCACCTTCTACAGGTTGTGTTTAGACTACTAAAAGGCTTTAAGTTAGTTGAACCTAACTGTTCAAAGGTGGCACAGTGGCTCAGTTGATGGAGTCGATGCCTCTCAGCAAGAAGGTTGCTGGATCGAATCCCAGCCCGGGGACCTTTCTGGGTAGAGTTTGCATGTTCTCTCCATGCATGCGTGGGTTCTCTCCGGGTACTCCGGCTTCCTCCCACAGACCAAAAACATGACTGTTAGTTTAATTGGTGGCTCTAAATTGTCTCTAGGTGTGAGTGAGAGAGTGAATGGTGGTTTGTCTCCATGTGTGTCTCTGTGATGGACTTGAGACCTGTCCAGGGTGTACCCCGCCCCTCGCACTGTGACTGCTGGATATGGGCACCAGTGACCCTGAAAGGAAAGAAGCGGGTCTAGAAAATGGATGGATGGATAGAAGTGCTCAAAGGTGGTTTAAGTGAAACCCGTTTCAGTGCGCTTGAAAACTGTCACAGCTGTGAATAACGTTCTCTGGGTGCGTTCTGAAAGCTACAGATGGATTGTTGTGTCAGGTCTGCTGAGGGTCTTGGTGATGTGAGAGGAGCTTCCATGATGGAGAAGATTTAACAGTTTGTTGGCACTTAAAGCTAAAGTGGGTTCAATAGGTGAGAAATAAATGAAGCAGGAAATAACATGTAGTTTAAATGTGATGTAGTTTTTAAAATAGAACTATAGATAATTCTGCTTCTAATACACATTTGTACATTCTGTTACATGGAATATGTCTTTTGGTTCCACAATCACAGCAGTTTTCACACATGCAGTCCTGAAAATTTCCTCCTTTTTTAGTGTGTCTGGTGGTTCCTCCTGACCTGTTGAGGAGATTTAACAGTCAGCTGTCCAGTGATGAAACAATGTGAAGTATTGTTTGTGAGACAAAGTCGAGGTGCCTCATCCAACATCTGAAACCGTAGTTCCTCTTTTTGACCTGGTCTGTTACAGCTCATCTCCAGTGAAGAACCTCTGACCATATGAGGTGGATGTTTGAACAGCAGCCCTAATTTAAAAGTCTTGACCAAATTCTCCACACATCCTCCAGAAATCCTCTGGTCATGCGTGAAAACGGCTGCTAAAGTTACCAGACGCCGTCACCTTCCTGAGTCTTTGACAACTTTTTACTGTCATTTTAGCTCCAAATTTCCAGCCTTAAGGTGGAAAAGGAGCAGCATGAAAACCTTTCGATTTGGTGCTGTGAAATCTGGCGCAGGCTTTAAGGTTTGTGGAGACGTTTTTCCACAAATCAACTTGGGGCCAGACGATTCAGACAGCCAAAGACTTTTGGTATTTAAGTGAATGTTAAAGCTGTGATCACATGTTGGGACTTTGCTGCAGTGTGAGCTTCCAGCCCAGGAAGGACTGCCTTTTTTGGATACCTAATTTTTATTGATTATTCATATTTTGTCATACATAACTGAACAGGCAAACATCGGCAACAGATAATAATCACAGTTTTGTGAGGAAAAACTACTGGCATAAGACAGCAAGTATCACAGGGCTAAGAGCTGAATCCTGCTAATTGTTTTCACAGAATCTAGCTCCATCTGATTCTGTAGAGATCAACGTGCAGCCTCAACTTAAATGTTAACTTCATTTTGTTGGTTTCCTCAACCATTTTCAACCAGTCCTCTAGTTTCAGTGGGTCAGATTGAAGTCATTTTTGGATGTTTGCTTTTTTTGGCTGCAGCACTTAGGACTTTCAGTAAATATTGATCATTCATCATTAATCCATCAGGAGCAGCTTCTAGCAATAGTGATAGTRGGTTGTTGTAATTGAAATCCCAAGATCAGTTCTGATTTTTTCTCAATCCCCCCTTCCAAAATGTTTTAATTTTTATACAGAGCCAAATAATAATAATAATAATGTGGGTGTGGTTTTCTCATATATATCGTCCCATAATTCACATGATACAGTATACTAGTGCTTAGCTGCTTTTCTCATCTTTGTTTAATATAATATGTTGTGTTTTCTTTACCCTGATAAAGTTTAGAAATTTTAGATTTAAATTGTTTAGAACAAGCTTGAGAGACTAACTGAATTATTGCATAAGTGTTTGGGAAAAAAATTGTCTTAATTGTAAACATCTAAAAAGATCATATTTTTCTAAGTCATATTTTTGTCATGGTTTTTAGAAAACTTTAAGTATTCTTGTTCAGTATCTTGCAATATGCAGTTATTTCTTTATATGACCAGTTTTATAAACTTGAATCTGTGGTGTGACGGTCCTTGTTCATTATTAGTTGTGTCTTTTTGTTCAGGACTGTATTAAAGTCACCTGCACAGATTAAAAACCCAAAAAGAAAAAAAATTGTATAGTTCTTCTGGACGGGTTCTTCTCTAATGAAACGTTTCGTYTCTCCTCCAAGAGACTTCTTCAGTCTGAGAGTTTCAGGCATAATTCAGGCTTTTAAGCCCTGCCTCCATGTGACTGATACTCACATCACATCTAATGGCCAGAACTCTGCAGTTTTCACTCATTTACAGGSCAGCGGTCACTCTTTCAGAGATGAGGATGTTCTCATTCTTGATAGVGAGGAACGTTGGTTTGAGAGAGGAGTAAAAGAAGMCATTTTTGTRAAGAAAGACCGTCCATCATTAAACAGAGGTGGAGGCCTCCGTTTTCAGTTGTCCCCCTCCTACAGTGCTGCTATCGCCAGTATCACTCCACCCCCTGTTACTAATAGGTGTTAATTAGGTGTCAACGATAGCCATGTGATGTGAGTATCAGTCACATGGAGGCAGTGCTTAAAAGCCTGAATTTTGCCTGAAACTCTCAGACTGAAGAAGTCTCTTGGAGAAGAGACGAAATGTTTCATTAGAGAAGAACCCATCCAGAGGACCTATACAATTTTTTTATTTTAGATTTTTTTTTACCTGGATTACTGAGATGCATCAGGACAGATTAAAAACCCCTGTGACTCTAATTCTAAGATTTTTTGTTTTTTCAACAAAGGCTGGTCAGATTGTGGGGACTTGTAAACTGGAAGAAGGGGAGTCTATTTCCCGTCTGTGTTTGCTTGGACTATCTGCCTTCACTATCTTGTATTTGTTTAATAAGTTCAAAATGTAGATAGGGAGTTGTGTAGTAATGCTGCAACGCCTCTGTTATTACCTGTTTTGAAAGMGCTTTAAGAAATAGTTCTACTATCCTCCCCCCCAAAATAAATAAGTAAATAAAACAGTCYCTTATCTTGACCAACTTTATTAATTTTTTTTAAGTGAACATAACTGAATATGGTTTAGGTTTCTCTATAGAATTCCACTTATTTTTGCTTTACTGCTGAACATAGAGATGAGGCTGGCCAGTGTATTCGTAAGAGCTTGGACTCTTTTATTCAAATAATCGATTGATTTTTTGTTTTGTTTTGTGTGTTCAAATGTATATGTGATATGTGTATATAAATGTCAGTGTTAATACACATGTGACAGAAGTGTAGCACAGGAAAGCAGAACAACTTGCAACCTTTGTCCAGCAGAGAGCACCGGCACACAGATTCAACAAGAAAATGAACTTTTTTTGTTGTAATTTCCTTTTAAACTCTGAAATATACCCATAGATATCTAGATATTTTTAACAAGTTTCATAGAATGTAACAGAAGCATTACTATTATATAATATTCATTACACAGAAGTATACACTTATTARTATTTGCTTCTTTAATTCAGAACTCACCATGCAGCAGGCCGAGCATGATGCTTATTTTGTGTTTGCAGATGTTCTGGAGCGTGTATAACAACATCCCTCCTGTCACAGCACTGCCTCTCAGGTGTAGCTATCATTTAATGCGAGGAGAGCGACGGCCACTGTGGTAAGTGTTTCTGTTCACCATAAAATGAATATCCATCACAGGATTTTTGCGTTTGTATTTATTTATTTATTTTGTAATTTTGATGTATTTTATTCTAACAGGGAAGAAGAAAGTAATGCCAAAGGAGGTGTATGGAAGATGAAAATCCCAAAAGAAAACAGTGTAGGTGTTGCTCTCAGTCTGCCTTGTTCCTGTCTAACAGCTGCATGATGTTCTCTGTTGTTTTTGTGTTTCAGTCTACAGTTTGGAAGGAGTTGTTACTCGCTACCATCGGTGAGCAGTTTGCAGATTACTGCACCTCAGGTACAGTCTKACTGATAAAAACACATCTTTGTAAAAACTGGTTTGTTGCTGACGCCGTTTGTTGTTCTGTTTTCCAGACGACGAGGTTGTGGGTGTCAGTGTTAGTGTTCGAGATCGGGAAGATGTTGTACAAATATGGAATAAAGATGCAACTCTTGCTAACGAATCAAATATTTTGGGAAAAGTCTATGAGCTGCTTCCTTATATATCATTTAAAGCTGTTTTTTATAAATGTAAGTATGCCTTTTTTCTAGTTACTTGTACTGTTTGGGTTTAGCTGTAAGATTTTAGGTTCAAATAAGGAAAAATATATATACATATATATATATTTTATTCATGTACTTAGTATGTTAACGTACAGTTATGATAAAAAGTAATAACTCCCACATTCAGTTCTAAAGGGATGTTCCATGATAAATGTCAGGAAAGACAAACGTCAAGAGAAGCAGCTGTTGTCATTCCCAAACATTTTGGAGTCTCATTGTTTTACAATAAGACAGATTATTCACATGTGGAGAACATTTGCAGCTGCCAGTCTTCCCAGGAGTGAAC